ATAGCCAGTTCTAATCCTTATTAAGTCATTATGTGTTAATAAAGATGGGGGGAAACCCCAAAAATTTACCTGAGTGCCAAGATGGTTTGGGTACTAAATAAATGGAGGGGATTGTGTAAGTAATTCAGTAGCTTCTTACAACCAAAGGTTAAGGCACGTCTTTTAAACATAGGGCGTGTGGCTTTCTGTGCACAAACTATGTGTTTTTACTTTGCAGTACCTTGTCCGGTAGGAGAATTCTCCCGTTCTGGGTTAATGCCCTGTTACCCATGTCCTCAGGACTACTACCAGCCTAATCCAGGGAAGTCTTTCTGCCTGTCTTGTCCCTTCTATGGAACTACCACAATCACTGGTGCCAGATCCATCACAGACTGTTCAAGTAAGATGCTACTTCATGTCTTACGTAGTCCCATGTCGAAGACTTGTCTTTGTGGTACCTTCAGTTTTGAATATTAGACCTGTTACATTGTTCTTTAGATACCTTGTTAGTGACAGTGACTTAAAGAGTCTTGTTTGGAAAACATTGAACTTGACAATTTCCAGATTTCGTTCTAAGGCTCTAGGATTTAATGATGTATGCCCTTTATCTCTATGTTCTCTATTTTAATATTACTAGAACAAAGTACATGTGGCTTTGCCCTCTCTGACGGCTGGAATCTTGGCCATAGTATTTCATGTAGCCTACTTATTGGCAATAGCCGCCACACACTGACTTTCTTTTTATTCATTTATTAGGTTTTAGCTCAACTTTCTCAGCAGCAGAGGAAAGTGTAGTGCCCCTGGCCTCTCTTGGGCATATTGAAAAGAAGTATGAAGTCAGCAGTCAGGCAAGTCTGTTTTGTATAAAATTTTCTCTAGTAGAATTCTCGGAAAAAACTTGGTCATTTTACATGTTGCATAGAGGAAAACTACTGGGATTGAAACTTTATCAAGACTTGTGAATAATTGTGTTTACTGATAAATCCTATTAAGAACTTCCCAAGAATGCAACATTTCATTTTTTAAGTACCCGAAGTGGCAGTTTTCCCCAGAGATGTCAGGCAACAAGACTGAGCAGATATGGGAGTCTTTTGATTCACTAATAATTAGCTTTTCCCACAAAACGAACCCATCATTTGAGCAAGGGAGTTAGGTTTTGACCAGTGTCTTTTCTTTTCTTTCTTTTTTTTTTTTTTTTTTTTAGCTGGGGCTGGGTTTGAACCCTCCACCTCCAGCATATGGGGCCAGTGCCCTACTCCTTTGAGCCACAGGCGCTGCCTACCAGTGCCTTTTCTGATTCACAGGAAGAGTTACTCAACCTACATGAGAATTATTTAAATTTATCTTCCAACAAAAAATAATAATAATTTCTTGGGATAAGGTATGAGTTTAAAACATTAAGAAATATAACTCATAAACAGAACTAAACCAATTGCTTTTCATTTTTTCTAAAAGACTAGTGAATCAGAAGTCTGATTATTTTGGTAGATTCAGCCATTATTCTGAATTCACCATGCCCGATGTCATATTTTAAAGACAATGAGGTTATGTAATTTTTTATTTCAACTTCCTACAGTTTAGTCCAAACACAATGCCTTGGGAGAACTTTGTAAGTCATGTTTGAAACTGAGCCCGGGGACTTCTTAATAGACATTTGCAGGAATTCCTACAGCAGTGACTCTCAAACCTGGAGGCGTAATAGAATCCCCTGGCTAACTTTGAAAATATAACAACATACAGATTTCACTTTCGGAGATTCTGGTTTAGCTGGTCTGTGTTGGGGCTCTGTCCTTAGTACTACATATATTTTAAAAACACTTCAAATGGATTCAAATGTACAACCAGCATTAGAAACACTACTTGGGTTTACCAGAACATCACTTGATAATACCAATACTGTTTTTTTTTACTTACATTTACATGGATGTGGAGTAATGGATGCTGAAACCTAAGGTAGGAGGGAGTGGAGGATAAAAATTGATCTATAGAGTGCAACATACTCTATTCTGGTGTTGGGAACACAGAAAGCCCTGACTTCAACATTATACAATTCATTCTTATAATAACAACAACAACAACAACAACAAACTTATACCATCTAAATGTATTAAAAAGAAAGAACAAACATATTGTTTGTGACCATATATGGCAGCCACCAATGCTATTCAGGCCACCATCTAGTTAGCTTGAGTGAATGTACGTGGAAATAGAGATCAGTCATCTAATGTTGCAAACTTTCTAACACCCTAATCAGGATTGCTTTGAAATGAATGGAAGGCTTTGTCTTTGATAGGTTTCTCTTCTGTTTCTGGTAGGTTTTCCACGAATGCTTCTTAAACCCTTGCCACAATGAGGGAACCTGCCAACAACTTGGGCGTGGTTATGTTTGTCTCTGTCTACCTGGATATACAGGTAACATAGATGAATGAAAACAATGTATTTTACATGAACACGTTGTGACTTGCAGTATCAGACTTTAGTATATTAAGTATATGCTGTAAGATAGATTGGGGCACACAGATGCACCGAATTTTAGTTAAACAAGATAAACCAAAAGGCAAAAACAAAAACAAGAGAACAACAACAAAAATATGATTTATACCTCACAAATGACTTTCTCTTTGCACGTTTTGGAGGAATAATAAAAAATCATCTTTATGAAAAACTCACATCGTAATTCACAGTTTAAATTGGAATATAGTTCCAGGGGCTGTGTCCAAGGTGGTTTCAGCCTATCACAAATTAAATGCATGACATTCAACATAGAACAGATTGTCTAACATAAACATCTTTAATCTCTCAGTTCTCTCATTTGCTGCCCACTAATAGAGGTTCTTGTGAGTAGCTAAGATTTGTTACATTGTTTCTATCTTTCTAAAGACTATGCTTAAAAAAGCAATATGGCTTTGGGCTTGATTATGTAGGAAGTATGTAAGAATTATGTTTGTTTGGCTCACATTCCAGCTGAATCCAAAACATAATTTTTGAAGAAAAATACCTTAAAATTGCAATTAATTTAAAATATTTCTTGGTTCTCTTCTAGACCAGTTTTTTTTTTTTAATTGTTGCAACCAATTTGAAAGTTTTTGATGAAAGAAATGATAATTAAGTAAAGGACTTCACCACAAACTAAGCAAAGGAAAATTAGAAAAAAAAAATAGTTGGACAATAAAGAATATTGACATTCTACTTCATTATAGCTGGAGTGTGTGTGTGTATGTGTGGACTTTCTTAAAAATTTTTGTCCTGACATTTCATAAGAAATGATCATTCTTGTCCAAGAATTCTACAAATTAATTGGTGGTTGAGAGAGGGCATAGCATAGGACAGTGGGTCTCAAACCCTAGTGTGCATCAGAATCATCTGGAAGGCTTACTGCGTCAAGCACCAATGTGATTCAGGCCACAATCTAGCAAGCTGGAGTGAACTTACTCAGAAACAGAGATTCACAATTTCTGATTCAGTAGGTGTGGGGTCTGGCCTGAGAATTTGCATTTCTATTATGTTCCCATAATGCTGCTACTAGTGATGAGGGCCCCTGGCACAGAGGGAGAAGGTGAGTTTCCAGAGAGCTGGCCTTTGGAAAGCCCGTGTGCCTCCCGTGGGAGATGCAACCCACTGGGGGAGCCCAGGCATGGGAGCTGAGATCTGTTAGAATTTAACCCCACCTCCACCCCTCTGCCAGGTGACCTTGGTACCAAGTATATGTGACACTATATTTTTATTTTTAGAATTAATGTGATTCCTGGTTCCATTTCATGCTTCTGGGTCCCCTTGCCCCACTTCTACATTGGGATTTTTTGCTGTCTTTTGTCCTTATATATTAAATCTACTCAAAAAGAGGGTAGTGCCTTCATTAACTATTTAATGGTGAACGAGTGAATTTTCCCCCTTTCTTCACCACTCCCCCCGTATAAATCCAGCGTATTGAGATAATTTCCTACAAATGCCTGTGGTTCTGCTTCTGTTAATGCCTCTCCCGGGTTGTCCCTCGGTGCTTGGTTTGCATTTTAGGCTTGAAGTGTGAGACGGACGTGGATGAGTGCAGCTCCCGGCCCTGCCTGCACGGCGGCGTCTGTAAAGACCGGGTTGGGGAATTCTTCTGTGAGTGCCCGTCGGGTTACACAGGTGAGGGCGACGTGTCTTCTGTGTGCAGTGTCGACCTTAGAATTACTAAAAGGCCTTTGCTGACGTATATTTGGATTGTATCTTTAGGGCACGTGTATCGGGTATTATAGCTATGCCGAAGAGGCACGTTGGCTAGCATTCTTTGTGTGCATTGGGCAAGTGTCGTTTTCATTATTCTGTTACATAAAAAGAGTAAGTTAACAATTCGGCAATATGAAATCGCTTGAGGTTTATAAAACCTCTGGCAGACTTGGTCCCATCTTTCCCAGCCAGATGTGTCACCTTGGACAAGCCATTTAACGTCTCTAAACCTATTTTTTTTTTCAGATTTAAAACTAGGGGGCAGGAAATGAGAGGAAATATGCAAAGCCTAGTACAGTGCCACACAAATACCAGGTTCTCTTCAAGCTAGAATTGTACAAATGTATGAGTATGAAGTGTTTGCCTGGTTATTGCCTCGGTTGTGTGTGTGTGTGCAATTATCATTAACTGTGGAAGTAAGGCATTTACACCCTTGAAATTGGCGTGGGACACAATGCCTCTCCTGTTAACTTAAATGAATACAGACATTTAAGTATTTATCTTATTTAGGACGGAGAGTTGGAGCTTCCAACACCCATTAGCCAAGTAATAGTTCAGAAACATTGATCGTGTTCTCAATTCCCCTGTTCAATCCAATTTTTCTCATGACAACATTGATAATATAGTATTTTAAAATAGAATATTATTTGCTATTTTATAAGTAGCAATACTCTTATATTATTATTATGGAGAACACTGAGATCATCTGTATCATCCAGCACTGTACCTAACTCAGAATATCATTATATATTGAAAGTATATCTAAATATATATTTTTAATACACATGGGTATATAATTTCCTATAATTTAATAAGTTCAGAACAATCAATGTAACCATTTCAGAGAAAACATATTCTAATAGTTTTACAATCTAAAAACAATTTTCATAAAGAAATGAAAATGTTGGTGGCATCCATGCTCAGTGGTTAGGGCACTGGCCACATACACCAAGGCTGGCGGGTTTGAAGCCAGCCATGGCCTGCTAAACAACAATGACAACTGTGACAGAAAACATAGCTGGACGTTGTGGCAAGTGCCTGTAGTCCCAGTTATTTGGGAGGGTTAGGCGAGAGAATCGCTTAAGCCCAAGACTTTGAGGTTGCTGTGAGCTGTGATGCCACAGCACTCTACCCAGGGCAACAGTTTGAGAATCTCTCAAAAAAAAAGAAAGAAAAAAAGAGAAAGAAAATGTTTAACATCATAATTTATGGCAATAATCATTTGAACCAGTTTTAACATTTTTTCTTCATGGAATCTATGCAATAGTGATAACCCCCGTCATACAGAGAACTACATCAAGTTCTTACCTGTGTGTATCTGCGTATCCCGGTACAGCATGAAAATGATGCAACTCTGCCATACGTCTCTTTATCTAAAACTCCAAATCTCATGTTAGTGACACCTGAAGTTGAATCCTAGTAAAAACTTGTGACCAGAATGGCAGACACATACTATGAGAAAAATAAATCCAAACTTCTAAATTAAAAAATATACATTTCCTAGACATTAAATGTGTTGTGCTATTTACTAGAATTAAGGTGTATTGTGTGGATTTACTGTGAAAAACAAAAAATGGTCATTATCCTCCTTATGAAAATGCAGGTATATTATTAGATTCACTACTCTCCAAACTGACTTCTGTTGGTGAAATTTTCTATTAGCACATTTTCAAGTTGTTAAGACATGTAAATTATTAGATACCTGTTAGATAAATTCGTCAGTTCATAGTTTAAGCATCCTGAACTCTCCAACCCCTTAGAGTCTTTGTACATACGTACTTGAACTTGAAGATTTATGGTGCTAATCCAGGCTCATTTCTGTGCTTGTCTTTGGTAATCACAGACCTCTCTGAATCTCTAGATGTGTAAATCAAGGGGTATGAATGACATCAGTCATTCTCAAATTATGTTCACACAGGACATGGGACAGCTACACAGAAATTTAGCTGTGTTTTCCCACTTTGCATAACAAAAGAAGTCATTTTCTTTATTCAATGTATTTCTCCAATAATTTCTGCCAGCTTTGTAACTGTTACCTCTTCACTGTACAAGAAATAAATGCAACAAAGGATGAACGACTTACAAACAATTAACATGAGAAACATTTTAAAACAAAATCACACCTATCTTTTTTTAAGTAAAAAAATATGGTCGGATAGTCATGGTTTCATTTTCCATCATACACATGTTGTTTCTTGCTAGAAAATGTTTGCGGTTCAAAGAATGAAAGAAAACATTTTATTTCAATGTATTTTGTAAAGAGCAAAATTTTTCACACATGTTAGCTATAATTTCCAATTGCTTGCTTGAAAACTCTGGGTCTTAAAGTCCTTTCAGGTTCTTCTGCAGCTCAGAGACTCTGTGATTTATTTGCAGGTCGACTATGTGAAGAAAATATAAATGAATGTAGCTCCAGTCCTTGTTTAAATAAGGGCACCTGTGTCGATGGCTTGGCTGGCTACCA